AATTATGAATTTGGTGACACTAATGAAAATGATCAATTACTATCCTATCTTGTTTCTTTCGATGTGTTTCTATTTGACTCAGTGGCAGGTCAAAGCGTTCGAGCTATTCAAGAGTCTAAAATCCACCATGACTAAGGTCTTCGGGCTGGGTGGTCCTCTGTTCGAACGGTCCCATTAGCGGGTCGGGCAGACGTTAATTGCTGGCCGCGAGGCCGAAAAATCCACCATAAATAAGACCTTCGGGCTGGGTGGTCGCCTGTTCGAACGGTCCCATTAGCGGGTCGGGCAAACATTAGTGGCGGCCCTGAGGCCGAAAAACCCACCATGACTAAGGCTTTCGGACTGGGTGGTCGTCTATTCGAGCGGTCCCATTAGCGGGCTGGGTAGACGTTAATTTGTGACCCCGAGGCCAAAAAATCCACCATGGCTAAGGCCTTCGAACTGGGTGGTCGTCTGTTCGAACGGTCCCATTAGCTGGCCGGGCATACATTAATTTATGGCCCTGAGGCCGAAAAATCCACCATGACTAAGGCCTTCGGGCTGGGTGGTCGTCTGATCAAACAGTCCCATTAGCGGGTCGGACAAACGTTAATTTATGCCCCTGAGGCCGAAAAACCAACCATGACTAAAGCCTTCGGGCTGGGTGGTCGTCTATTCGAACGGTCCCATCAGCGGGCCAGACGGANCGAGGCTGAAACACCATGACTAAGGTCGTCGGGTTGGTGGTCGTCTTTTTGAACGGTCCCATTAGTGGGTCGGGCAGACGTTAATTCGTGGCCCCGAGGCTAAAAAACCCACCATGACTAAGGCCTTCGGGCTGGGTGGTCATCTGTTCGAATGGTCCCATTAGCGGGGCCTGGTAGACGTTAATTGGTGGCCCCGAGGCTGAAAAAATCCACCATAGCTAAGGCATTCGGGCTAGGTGGTCGATTTTAGTATTGGTTCGTTGAAGAGATGGAGAACGGATCGCCCGAACAGGTTGATTGTTTTTACTTGATTTGGTGTATGGATTTATTTCTTAATCTTAATGACAGGTCGAGATGAAGCCTAAAAATCCACCATGATTAAGGCCCTTGGGCTGGGTGGTCGATCCTAGTGTTGGGTCGTTGAAGACATGGATGACAGATAGCCCGAGCAGGTCGATTGTTTTTACTTGATTTTGTGTATGGATTTATTTCTTCGACCTCAGTGGCAGGTTGATGAAGTTCATTTTGAGTAATCCACGGAGTTTATTGGAGACCTCGGTGGCAAATTGATGATTTTTTTACTTGATTATTTTGTAGAATTTATTTGTCGACCTCAGTGGCACGTCAATGGAATTCATTTGTAGCAATTCATGGAGTTTATTGGAGATCTCGGTGGCAGGTCGATGATTTTTTACTTAATTTTGGTTTTGTCGAATTTATTTTTCGACCTCAGTGGCAGATCGATGGAGTTCATCTGATGCAATTCACGGAGATTATTGACTGACTTCGGTGGCAGGTCAAGGGGTTTTTACTTGATTTTGGTTTGTCGAATTGGTTTTTCAACCTCAGTGGCGGGTCGATGGAGTTCATTTGGAGCAATTCATGGAGCTTATTGGAAGACCTCGAGCAGGTCGATAGTTTCACTTGACTCGATTTTTGTTGAATTTATTTTTCGACCTCAGAGGCAGGTCGATGGAGTTCGTTTGGAGCAATTCATGTAGCTTATTGACAGACCTCGGTGGCAGGTTGATGATTTTCAGTTGACTCAGTTTTTGTCGAATTTATTGTTTGACCTCAAAGGCAGGTCGATGGAGTTCAATTGGAGCAGTTCACGGAGCGTATTTACAGACCTCAGTGGCAGGTCGAAGGTTTTTCCCTGGTGTGGTTTATGGATTTTTTTGTAGACCTCAGTGGAAGGTCGAAGGTTTTTCCTTAGTGTGGTTTATGGATTTATTCACGGACCTCGGTGGCAGACGTCGAAAGAAGGTCGAGCACTTTCAGTCATCGGAAGTAGGTCGAAATCGATGGCCAAGATTGTTTAAGAAAGCGGAAACGATGGGGTTGAATTTAAATTTTGAATTGAGGGGCGAGAGCACGAGGTGATCGAAAAGGTTTGTCTTTGAGCGAAGAGAGCTCGAACATGGTGGTCGAAAAACAGCAGACGTGAGTTCAAATTTTTATATTCAAGACTTCGGGAAGAGATCGAGAAAATCTATCTAAGTATCATGGAAGTCCAAGTAAGCAGGTCGATAGATGTCAAAGGAATATCGACATTGCAAAGTGAGGAGCAAAGGAATCTACTCTAAGAATCAATGTTCGACCTGAATGTGGCGTCAGATCATTCGATTTTCGACCTCAGTGGTCATTCCGTTCTCCATTTTCGACCCCAGTGGCGGGTCACTCAATTTTCGATCTCAGTGGTCATTCGGCTTTCCGTGTTTGACTCCAATGGCGGGTCACTTAGTTTTTGACCTCAGTGGCAGGTCATTCGATTCTCGACCTCATTGACAGGTCTTTCGGTTTTCGATCCCGACATCATATCATTCGGTTTTCGACCTCAGTGGTAGGTCATTCGTTTTTTTACCTCAGTGGAAGGTTATTCGATTTTCGACCTCAGTGCGGTCTCTCGATGCTCATTTGGAGGTTATTTAGTGGTCACTCAGGATATTTGGTAACTATTTGGTGGACGAAGATTTATTCAAATTATAACCTCAGTGGCAGGTTGACGGAAATAGCAGAAGGTTCATTTCTCTCTTAGATTGAGTTATGCTCATTGGGGGCGGGGGACTAGATGATATGGGATATTATACTAGACCGGTTTTAATGGATAAAAATGAATGTATTGAGAATAAGCCTACACATGGCATGATGGTATTAATCAAGCCCAACTTGGACCCTAAAATACACTCCCCCTATAAAAGGGGGCTGAGGTATCTAAAAAACAGATTCTCTCTACATTCATGATTATACTCTCATTTTGTACTCTTGATACGAAGTGAGAGCTGACTTAGGCATCGGTGGCCCGACCTCGGGACCCCTCCGAATTTGGGTTCTTATAGGTACGGAGGCAGTTCGGGTTGAAGGAGCCCAGGTGAAGTCCATTTTGGAGAAATTACTACAAAAAAAATGGATTTAAAACGTAAATTAGGAAATGCTGAAGTTGTATTTTGGTGGTACAAAATTTTGCCTTACCATGTAGCAGATTTATAATATATTTCATTTCCATTGATAAGAATCGCACAGTTGACATTCGTGATAGAATTTACGGCTAAGATTGAAAGTTGTGAATTTCCTTATCTACAATATCAACCGTACAATCGAAAATCAAGATTGAACGGCTCAGATTAAAAGATGTGAATTTCTTTATCTACAATATCAACCGTACAATCGAAAATCAAGATTTAACGGCTCAGATTAAAAGCGATGGAAATTATTTATCTACAATCTCAACCGTACGATCGAAAATCAAGATTTGACGACTAAGATTAAAAGCTGTGGATTTCCTTATCCACAATATCAATCGTACGATCAAAAATCAAGATTTAACGGCTCAGATTAAAAGTGGTGGATTTTATTATCTACATATCAACCGTACGATAAAAAATCTAGATTTAACGACTAAGATTGAATGTTGTGAATTTTCTTATCTACAATATCAACCGTACGATTCTTACCTATGAAAATTAGGATTTTACGGCTCATATTAGAAGTTATAGATTTCTATATCATTATTTAAACAGAGATTTTAACACTATTTTATCATTAGTTAACTCTTGCATTTTCTAGAAAAATATGAATCCCAATCACATTGGTACTTCTTATGCATTTTTTTCTTCAAGTTCATGTAATGATGAATTTGAACAACTATTAAATAGTTATGATACAAAGTTACATCTGATAGTACAACAAATAACAACAATAATATTCTTGTACAATTATTTCTTACAACTCAACAAGTTAGTCGAAGCCATGGAGGTTCAGTTCTTGGTCGAAAAACAATATTTTGAGATCGAGAAGCAGCTGCAAATCGTCTTTTTAACGATTATTTTTCTGAAAAACCAAAATTTAATGAAGTCATGTTTCGTAGATGTTTTCAGATGTCTAGAAATTTATTTTTCCGTATAGCAAATACAGTTAAAAGTCATGATGATTATTTTTTGCAGTAAAGAGATGCAGTTGGTAGACTCAGATTGTCTACCTATTAAAAGTTAACTGTTGCGCTTTGGATAATAGCATACGTTGTACCAGCAGATGTGACATATGAATACATAAATATTGGGGAGTCCACTGCAATTGAATGCGTGGAGAAATTTTGTCGTGCTGTTGTAGAGATATTCGGAGAGCAATATCTACGTTCTCTCAATGCCAATGACATTGCAAGACTCCTTTATATCGGTAAGAAACATGGCTTTGCAGGATTGTTAGGTAATCTTGATTGTATACATTGACACTGGAAAAATTGTCCAACGGCTTGGGCAGGTGCGTATACAGGACGTAGTAAATCTCCAATTATTATTCTAGAAATTATAGTTAATTATGATATTTGGATATGGCATGCACACTTTGGAATACCTGGATCCAACAATGATATTAATATGTTAGAGATGTCTCATTTATTTTATGACTTTACTCGAGGAATTGTCCCTCCAGCACATTATGTCATCCAAGATAAATGATACAACATGGGGTATTATTTAGCAGTTAATATATATTCCAAATGGTCAACTCTTGTCCAAACTATTTGTGACCCATGTTGTCAGAAAAAATACTTTGCAATGAAACAAGAAGCATGCAGAAAGGACGTGGAGCGTGCATTTGGAGTACTCCAAAGTCGATTTGCTATTGTGGCTAATCCTGCTCGGTTTTGGAGTAAAAAATGTCTTACAAAATATAATGACTGCATGTATTATTTTGCATACTAAAATAATTGAGGATAAACGAGATCATCATGCACCGATCAAAGCTGCGATAGAGGCCCCAATCCCAGATGTTGAAACAATAGGTAATGAAGCTTCTTAGTTTCAAGCATTTATTGCTCAATACAGACAAATTCAATATAGAGAAGCTCATATCGCCCTTCGTATTAATTGGGGCTAAACTTTGCCTGGATTTCCTAGCTTTACATTAGGATGATGAATAACTTGTGAAGGTGTAGCAGCGAAAAATGCTTCAAGCTGACTGAAACACACGCAAGAAAAAATTTCAACAAGTTACAAGTACACAATCCTATGCATGAGCATTACATAAAATCCAAAATACTGTATACACGTTATACTATTCGCCATCATCAGTAGTCAGATGCAGCAGAAAAACAACATTTCATCTTTTGATAAAAGTTTCCACATCTGCATTCTTTTGGTTGCACAAAAAAGATCACCCAGTATATTTCCATAAGTTTCTCAAGCATACAATTTCATGGTTCTTACACAACAGCCAATAACTTCTTTATCTCCAGAAAGTGTTGTGGGACATGAAAAATTTGTAATCTGGATGGTTGACTTGCAACAGCCTGAGCCAGTTGTCGGCTGCCCGTAGGAGTGAAATGACCTTTTGGCCCTCAAAAACTCCATTTCCATCCCTGTCAGACACTTTGAACTTATATGAAACAAGTCCAAAAGTTGGCAACGAAAGCTTATTATTAGCATCTTGTACTCGCCCGCCACCTACACACATGAAAATTGGTATAGTTAGTTATCCTTGAAAATTACAAATGCTAGCTTAGCATGCATTGATTTCTCTTTAATAAAACAGGATGATATTTGTCTGTTAAACACAGATTTCAAAGGGCTGTTTGCAACCTATAAATAGATTCTTTTTTTTTTTTTTGGTGACTTGAAATAACAAATGGACTTGTATATATTTATTTCTGTAAACACTAAACAGTTCAAACCTCCCGATGGTTTGTATAACAATAACTAAATCTTTAAAACTTCAAGACATGAACAAAGATGGTAAGAGCAAGTAACCTCTAACAGGTTTTGCAAGAGAATGAAACGTTAAGAAACAGGCGTCGACGTTTTGCAGAGTGGGGCCCACAGGTATCCGGTATATGGGGTACCTGAATAAATAAGACACCACCCCTCTATTAGCTCAGTTTGAAAAATGATCATTACCAAATCCTCTTGATAACGCTAACAAAAAGCTGACCAAGCAATGGAAATCCAACTCGATGGAGTCAGGTCACAGCTTCTGTAAGTTTTGAGTTTGGGAAAGCGGGACGCAAGTATCAACATCTGTTGAATGGAACACGAAATATAATATTTAAAATAAACGTCAATATATTATAGAGTTCATTAAATTTACCCTGAAATTATATTTTTAAAATAAACTATGCACTAGATCTCTCT